TTTAAGGTACTTTTTTGCTTTTATTACAGCTATTATTGTAACTTTTATTCATCGTTTTTATTCTAAGGAATCTAAAATAAAATCATATCTATTTTTCTGGTTCCGGAGTACGTCTCCTCTGATTTTCTATGAAAAGCTGTTTGTTTATGACAATCCATCACTTACATAAACAGCATCTTGTCGGCCGGGCTCGTGGCAGTAAATCCTTTAATCCCAGCCCTGGAGGACTGACTACTGTGTTACAGGGAACCGAGGGGAGAGGTATAATCCTTCTCTCTAACATTATACAAGACCATCTGCGGTGGGTGATGCACACATCCCTCACTGGTTTTATGTGCTTGTGGCGGAAGTCTTCTACGTGTCATCAGTATGCAGGATGTATATGGAATTATTACCACCATGCTTGTTTAATCAGCTCTTAGAGGATTCCCTGTATGGTGGTATTATCTATGTCAATATCAATGAGGATTACCATTATAGAACAAAGAACAGTATCTGAGGTCTCTGCTACAGGGCTATTTTCTCGGTCATGTATGAGCCAATCCTAGACTTAGGTCGATTTTCAAACAAATTTTCATTCAAAAATCGTACCTAAGAATAATCGGCTGATTTTCGCTCTGTTAGTGGGGCAATGGCAGCGGCCTATTTTCATGGTTCTTCCCCATTTTGTTTGTTGGGCATGCTGGAAAATTTGTGAAAAACATTTTCGAAATAATTTGTGGCACCATTGGATTACAGAATGAATTATGTTTTTGATTTTTGATCAAAAAAACGTTCGGAATTCGACCCATGTATGGCCTACTTTAGCACTACTATGGGCCCATTCAGATCATAATGCGGTATACCCCAATGTAAAAAAAAACTTAGTGTGCTTTTTTTGTTTTTGGCACAGAGCAAAGCACATATGTATCTGAGCATTGTACTATACTGTGAATGTGTGGTGTGGCACTGTTAATTTAGGATTGCAATGTACATCTAGGGTGGGTTGGGGATCACGTGTTTTGTCCCACCTATTCTTCTGTTGTTGTATTGAACTGTATCAAGTTACTATTGTTCTGGTATACAGTTGTGCTCAAAAGTTTGCATATCCTGGCAGAAATTGTGAAGTGTTGGCACTGATATTGAAAATATGACTGATCATGCCAAAAAATGCTCTTTTATTGAAGGATGGTGATCATATGAAGCCATTTATTATCAAATAGTTGTTTGGCTACTTTTAAATCATAATGATAACAGAAATCACCCAAATGGCCCGGATCAAAAGTTTCCCTCCCCTGGAATGTTTGGCCTTGGCACAGACACACAAGGTGACACACACGGGTTAAAATGCAAATTCGAGGTTAATGTCCCAGATCTGTGGCTTTTTAAATTGCAATTAGTGTCAGTGTATAAATAGCCAATGAGTTTGTTAGCTCTTATGTGGAAACACTGACTAGGCTAGATACTGAGCCATGGGGATCAAAAAAGTCAAAAGTCCTGCGTAACAAGGTAATGGAACTTTATAAAGATGGAAAAGGACATAAAAAGATGTCCAAAGCCTTGAATATGCCAATCAGTTCTGTCAAATCACCTATTAAAAAGTGGAAAGTTCGGGGATCTCTTAATACCAAGCCAAGGTCAGGTGGACCAAGAAAGATTGCAGCCATAACTGACAGATGAATTGTTCGGGATTCAAAGAAAAACCCACAGGTAACCTCAAAAGAAATACAGGCTGCCCTGGCAAAAGATGTGTGTGGTTGTTTTTAAGGAGTACAATACATTGATATCTCAACAAAAATTAGCTGTTTGGTCGAGGTGCCAGTCGATGTTTGTTGTTTGCAAGCTTTAGAAAAAGCCATTGTCTTTCTACACTCCAAAAGACAGGAAAAACATCCTCTGTATTCCACTTGTCTGACATAAACTTGTGTTGGATTCAACTTCTGTGTCTTATTGAAGAGTTAAGCTGCCTGTGGATGGTGCTAAGTCAGCAGGTGACCATACTGTCCAGACAGACTGGGTCTATTGAGGTTTGTCAATGCTTAACGTAGCATTTGAAATGTTATGGTGTGAACTCTCCCTAAGCTACAAATAACAGTCTTAGTGCCAGTTGAAGATTAGAAGCCAGCTTCATGCAACAAGCAAACTCACTCAGTAAAAGAAAGAACCTTTACAGCTTTTGCAGCCAGAAATTTTCCTGAAAGTAGAACTATAGGCAAAACTTTTTTTTAGCATTTTGGATAGAGTGGTATACCCCTGTCAGTTTATTTTTTTTCTTTTGTTCCCCATTTGGGAGATTTACCTTCACTTCCTGTCCCATAGCCAAAACAGGAAGTGAGAGGAAATCCCTGCAAATTAAGGGAATTCCTTGGGGACCCCCAGGTCATCAGAACTAGTGTCCCCATTGAAGGATTAATTTTCTGGGGACAACACAATATTTGGGATTTTCTTTACTTTCACTTTCATTGATAATGGTAAACAGGACAAGCAGAGAGGGGGAATCTCCCTAATGGGGACACAGACAGCAATAAACCTAATAGGTGTTCTAATCCCTCTCCACTCTCTCCAACAAATAACTTTTTGCCTTTAATTATACTTTTTAATTAATCCTAATCTGAGTTGAAAGTGAAACACCAGCCAAAAGGTAATTGTGTAGGGATGGGATAGAAGCTCTTGTCATTTTTTTGTTGCTGTTTGTACCCCCGTGGAAGAGATTTGGCCTCAATTTATGCTGTTTACCTACGACAGGAATGGAGAGGAAATCTCCAATAGGAATAAAAGCCTGATGTTCTAGCCCTTCTCCACTGCATGAGGCTCCAATGGAGTCAGTTTTTTAAAAAATAATTAAAGATCGCAACTTACCTTTTTTGGATTTTTTTGGAAACTCCAGCTTAGTTCTGTGTTTTGTTTTTTGTTTGTGAGGGGGTTGGGCAGGTGCATTTGCCATAATTAACCCTGTCTGTGCTCTGCTGGCACATCCTCAGTATCAGTTGTAAACCAGATATGAATATTATCTGTCTTAACAAAGGGTAACTGGGCCTCTCCATTGTGTATTAATGCAGACTTTCAACCCTAAAAATTAATTGTTTATATATCTGGCTCAAGCCCCTCCCACAATTTGATTTGTTTTAAGTTATTTACTTTTCAGGTTTTTTCTGCAGCACTTCTGCCTGTTACACCTATTTATTTATTACAGGTACTTATATAGAGCCATCAATATACGCAGCACTTTACATATATATTGTACATTCACATCAGTCCCTAACCCTCAAGGGGTGTACAATCTAAGGTAGGTGAGAATTACATTGTGCCCAATCTACACGTGCACAGATGGGCTAAAGGGCTATACCCGGCCTTCAGTACTCACCCTTAGACCTTCAGACCTCCAGCATATCTGTGCATGCACTGATGAATCATATCTTCTTAATCATACCCTCACAGTTACGAAGGTTACGAAGGATGAGCAGAGCACTTTGGCACATCTGCGCATAGCTGCACTAAGGACAGCCAGTTGGGGGGCAAATCCAGGCCTCATGTTCCTATCAGTTCAGCAGGAGGCCCAGGGTCAGAGAGGGAGCTCTATAAACCCATTTTTGCACATTGCCCAGTAATCCCGCCAGCTGTTGCTTTCAGCTATTAAATACAGGTTCCTAGGGGTTCAGCAGCAGGGCTGGGATAGAGAGGGGACTATATACTCAGCTTTGGGAGGGGATTGTCAAGCAGGCTATATGGGGAGGGGGGTTGTCAGGCAGGTTGTATGAGGCCCCACGATTTCTAATGGTAGCCATGATTGGACCATCAAAGGTGGTGGCACCAATAAGGGTGGGGCAGGGCCAGCAGTAAGGGGATGAAGTTCCTCTTTAATGAGTGGGAGCTCATCCTGAGCTCGGCCTTTCTATTGGGAGTTGTTGAGAAATCCCTGCAGTCCACCTAGACACCTTCTCCTACGAAACGTCTAAAACATGACTAATAACAAAAATTTAGGTATGTATGAATGAGAACGCATAAAACAATTATAGTGGGGTTTTCTGAAATTCATCTACAAAAGTAAAAATACAGTTTAACCTCAAAGTTTTTCTATTTTGCTTCCCGGCTGATTACACTTCATCTGCATTGTATATACAGTGTAGCAGATAACAGATCATTCATAGTCCCCAATGAAATGCCTGCAGAGAGTCTAAAGAGCAGCCAATTAGTGGCAGGGATAGGATAGGAGGTCAGCCTGGAGCCATTCTCTCTCCAGCAATCAGTGAACCAGAGGCCATTGCACCGCTTCACTCTGAAGAGGATCTCCGGCTCTGCTCATCTGTCACAACTTGCATACCAAGTCCTGGAATTCCACCTACTGTAAACAGTTCTGCTCAGCCTCTGGACCAGAGCCCATCCTTCACTGGGAATGATGAAGATGTGGATTGTGCGGCCCACCAAAAATGTACATTCGTTTATATGAAAGATCTGTTAATATCATCCATCTACAAATGTATGTAGCAACTTAAAAAAAAAAGCACAAAATCAAAATTTCCACTCAATGGTCATTTCAATATATTCTGACTCCACCAAAAATCATTATCCTCCATCATAAATTTGGCAAGACTGTCTAATGCATACTGTTAGACAGGTTAATTCAGTTTGTTTGCAGGTTGGCTGGCAAGTTTAGCTGGAAATTTTTCTTAGTGTTTGACATGCTTCACCCGTCCATGTGCTCTTTGCTGTGAAGGACAGTTATAGACTGGGGCAGTGACCATTTTTTGTACTGTTGAATTGATGGTCGAGGGGGCGTACTGGACACCTTGGCTGCCATTGTGCTACATGCTGGGTGTCCAGTGCGCTCCTGTACCTTTAACCACTAGCCTACAGGGCACTTATACCCCCTTCCTGCCCAGGCCAATTTCCAGCTTTCAGCGCTGTCGGACTTTGAATGACAATTGCGCAGTCATGCAACACTGTACCCATATGAAATTTTTATCATTTTTTTGTGACAGATAGAGCTTTATTTTGGTGGTATTTAATCACCTCTGGGATTTTTATTTTTTCCTAAACAAACCAAAAAACTACTGAAAATTTTGACAAAAAAAAAAAAAAAGTTTTTTCTTAGTTTTTGTTATAAAATTTTGTAAATAAGTGATATTTCTCCTTCACTGATGTGCACTAATGAGGCTGCACTGATGGGTACTGATAGGCTGCACTGATGGACACTGATAGGTGGCACTGATGGACACTGATGGGTATTGACAGGCATCACTGATGGGCACTGAAAGGCAGCACTCATATATGGCACTGATAGGTGGCACTGATAGGCGGCACTGACTGGCGCTGATAGGTGGCACCGACGGGCACTGTTAGGTGGCACTGACTGGCACTGTTAGGCGGCACTGATAGGCAGCACTGATAGGTGGCACTTGTGCACACTGATAGGCGGCACTGACAGGTGGCACTGATTGGCACTGATGGGTGACGCTGAAAGGCAGCTCAGATGGGCACTGAAATGCGGCATTGATGTGGCACTGAAATGTGGCACTGATGGGCACTGGCAGGTGGCATGGATGAGCACTGACAGCTGGCACTGATGGACACTGACAGGTGGTGCTGCTGGGGCTACACAGATCATCAGGGCACACTGATCGTCAGTGCTCTGATGATCTGTGTACATGTCCCCTCCGAGGAATGCCGATTACCGGCTCTCCTGTCCTCACAAGCTGTCAGCGTGACAGCTCATGGGGAGAGAAATGCCGATAACCGGCATTTTCCTGTTTACATGTGATCAGCTGTGATTGGACACAGCTGATCACATGACCGAGCCGACATTTTTGGCTCTTTCCGTGGATCGGTAATCCGCTGGACACAGGGCACCACCGATCGCCACGCTGCGCACTCCTGGAGCCGCGCATGCGCGGTTAGAATGGGAGGACATCATATGACGTCCTCCCAGGATGAGAAAACCACCTTGCACCCATCATATTACTATATGGCGGGCGGGAGGCGGTTAAGGAGGGGTGGGCTCCCTCAGGTCCATCTGCCCTTGGTCTATCCATTAAATACATGTGCCTCTACTATGGGGGCTCTCAAAATTGGAGCGTTAGGAACTACAGAATACCGGGGTCCCATGACGAGGCTCTGCAGCTTATGAATGTATTTTCAAATGTGTGCTAACTAAACCCCTGTTTTTAATGCATACTGTTAGACAGGTTAATTCGATTTGTTTGCTGGCAAGCTAGAGCTGTGAATTTTTCTTTTTTGTTGTTTGACAAGACTATATGATCCCTCGAATGATAAGAAGGTCTCACTTAAGAACAATTTCCCATGCAATATTCCCGGGCACTCACATCAAACTGATCCTGTTTTATCCTATTATCCAGTTTATACCAAAGTAGAGTTTATAAAAAGAGAATGGGCATGTAACAGCAGAACTCCATTTATTAAAATATGTTATAACCAAAATGCAAGTAAATTGCACACCGCACTATCATAAATGCATTGTGAATAAAAACTCCATAGTTTAGTCTAGGACCGTCTGACCCCCCCCCCCCCCCCCCCCCCCGATTTTTTACATATGATAGTCATACATGCTTCAGATTTGATTCTTGCTGAATTGGCCAAAATTTGAGCCACTGGTGGACCTTGTCAACACCACCTGGCTTGGCAAACTTCAATTGAAAAATCACCTGAGCCAAGTAGATAACTGTTTGCTGAACAGTGACTACATCCTATCAGATACAGGGCTCAATTCACGAAAGAATATTACAGATAATTGGATCACGTGATATATATTGTTTCCAATTATCTCATGTAATATTTAAAATGCTAAATCACTGTCAGTTTATGCAGTATTTACCGCACTAGTAAAAAAGTATGGTAAATACCACATAAACTGACTCTAAAGTCAATTTACTAAACTATATACAGTAAATAAATAAATACATTTGATGAATAAGTCGCGGTGTAGCCACTCGTTATTCAAGGAATACATTCAATAAGCACTGGTTGTTAAGGAGCCAGCACCTGCCAGCCTCCTTAACAACCAGTAAGTTGCAGGTTGTTAAGTATGCCGGTGGCCGCCCATTCCTTAACAACCAGTAAATATCATCGTTGTTAAGGAGCGGGCGGCCGCCACATCCCTAACAACCATGACTCATCTGCCGTCAGCAATTCTCATTTTTTTTATGTTTTCAGGTGTAAAGCAATTAATTTTCGGAATTTTTTTTTTTAAATCATGTATTGGTTTTCAAGTTAGAACATGACGATTACACAGCCAATGAGTGAGTTTTATTCTCTAACTTGGTAATGACAGGCAGCTAAAACATTTACGTACATCTCCACCTCTCTAAGGTTGCCTACCTCTGATCTATACCCACATGGAAAAAAAAATATATTTTAAATATATTTTAAAAATATTCTTCACAAATATATTGCCATATATTTGAAATGCTACAGTTTTGGCCATATTCAATATATTTCAAATATATATATATATATATATATATATATGTATACATACACTGCATGTTGAAATGCGTTTTTATTATTACAAAATATATTTTTTAAAATACATTTCAAATATACTGTATGTCTTTAAAAATACAAATCATCTACATTTTTGGAATGCATGTACAAATATATGTAAAAATATATGTTAAAATGACTTTTTTATATGTTAAAAAAAATCTGAAGAATATATTTAAAATATATTCTCAATCCAGAGCATTTCTGTCTGCTGCCTTGTTCCGCTGCTTTCAGCATGAACAGAGGAAGGACCTCCAGATTGACAGTTCCTGTGAGCTGTGTGAAGGGGAGAGGGTGTCCCTTCCCTCCAATCAGCTCTCAAAATTCTCACCTCTGAGCTATTCAGAGTGTAACTTCAGCTCTCCACCCCTTTTTTTCTGCACTCTCAGACAAGCTTTATAATTTCAGCACTTTGAATGCATGTATAGTAGGGAAGGCTGCAGATGCACAGGTACAAATTATCTAAGTGGATTTGTTTCATCTTTGTCTTTCACCTGAGGCCAGTCACTTCACTGGGTATCAGTAAGGGTTTACAACCACTTTAAAGTTGAACCTAATGGATAGGCATACAGGAGAGTGGACCACCCTGAGAATATCCCAAATCTAAAAAGGCAACTTACATTACTGATCCAGCAATTCTGGGAAACCCTGAGTGTTAAAGCGACCATTGAAAAATGTAATAAACAATGTTGCAGCTTAGCTTTTTTTAAATATGTTGGTTGCATTAGTTTTCTTTTTTCATTCATTTTATCTTCTTTTCCACCTGGTGAACACACTTCCTGCCCTAGGGTGACAACACTCACTCACTGTACTGTATCTATTGTCACCCTAGGACAAAATGGGTACTGGGAGTACAGGAACACTTCCAGGCAGAAAGTGCAGGAGGTCACTAGCTCTTTGGATTTCAGGCATGTCCATTGTGCATTTTTTTGCACTTAAATTATTACTGTTTTAATTTAAATTATTACTGTTTTAATTTAAATTATTTAGCACAGGTATTTATATACCGCAGCCCACTTACACTGTGTACAATGAGGACAGTTGTAGCTCAGTGGTGTGTGCTTTTAGAGGTTAAGGCTCCTTTCATACTAGCAGCCCGATCGGGTCTACCTCTCCGTTTTTCAAGGGAACCCGAGGGTACCCTCCATTCTCCTCTATGGAGCGGGGGGTATAAATGGATATGTGTCCGTTTACATCCAATGTGATCCAATCTTCTAAAAACAGATGGATAAGGGATCCATTCCCCTCTGTCTGGGTGGAACAGATCGGATGGCAGTTGGGTGTAAACAGGAAGGTGGTCCATTTACATCCAACCACCCATAGAGGACAGTAGGCTTTGTCTCCTCTGCACAAGAGGAGTGGACACGGACCTGTCATCCACCTGCTGAGTGGGGGATTAGAGGACAGATCCCCCACTGAGCAAGCGGACTCCTTGCAGAGTCCACCCCACGAAAAAGGGGAATAGAAAAGCAATCACTCTACAATGGACTAATAGCAATCTAAGGTCCCGAAATTACATGCCCATACTTGAGCCAACATTGACAGGAGCCAATTAACCTATGTACTTGGAGTGTAGGAGTAAACCCATGTGAAACTTTCAAACTCCATGCAGATAGTGTCCAAACCAGGATGCAAACCAGGGACCTCAGTATTGCAAGGCAGATGTGCTAACCAGTGTTGGGACAAGGGCATCCAGCGCCCAGGGCAAATATACCAAGCTGCCCAGATTTGTATCAGAAGAAAGGCACCCTCATCTCTACAGTAAACCATTGAGCCTAGGGCCGCTGCCCCTCCCACCCCTTGTTCCGGCTCTGGAGCTGACCACCAAGTCATTGTTCTGCCCTGCTCTTCTGGAACAGGTATAGCAAAATGCTTTTTAAGGATATATTCCACAGACCAGGAGGCATTTAATTAAATTTCATAGGGTTTACATACATTTTAAAGCCCATCTCTGGGCAAAAAAATTAAAAGTTTGCACATGCAGTGGGGCTGTGCCAACACTGTATGGGTTACCTGCTTGTTTTTGTCTGGGGAGAGGAGAACGGAGATATACTTACCTAATTCTCTGATCCTCTCAGAACAAGACCGGTCCAGCACCCCCGTGCTCTAGCAGTCTTGAACTGTAAACTGTTCCTGACATCATCAAGCCCAGAGAAGGCTACATATAGCAGGAACAGTCCACCGCTGGATGCCGTTTTCTGGTGGAATGAAGAATCAGGTGAGTATAAGCGTTCTCCTCTCCCCTATCGATTCAGGGCAATTCAGAAGATGAGGTTATTTGAAGAAATAGACATTTTGCTAGCAAAGCAGCCAGGTGTGGAAGTTGAGCTACCAGATGACAATCAGAGCCATTCAGCAGGTTGGCTTCATCCCCTGAGTCAGTTTAAATGCAAAATGTTCATATTTGACTGGAATGTTCCTTAAAATTTACAGTTCCTGTAGCTTCTGTAATTAGTGCCGTATGGCCGTGTTACTGATACCATGATTTCTCTGTATTCTACATACTAGAAGAAATGGAAAGACATAGCAAATCTTAAAACCCCTCCGGTTATAATATTACCTTGAATGGAAATAAAAACAAAGTTATAGCAACTAAAGAATGTGGATCACCTGCAGGCCATGCACGCGGTGTCAATCTCAGATATTCATCTAGTATCAAACGATTCTAAAGGCCAAGCCTACTCTCGGTAATGTTTTTATGTTATTTGCTACAGTTCATGTTTTAAAGTGTGCAATAAGGAAAAAAAATTGCAGAGCTCCTCCATGAAGGTGATATGTTGCCAAACAGGGTAATGGTTACCTGCAGAAAACCCTTTACTATTATCAGTGTTAACACCCTATGGCAGCCTTTCTCAACCAGGGTGCCCAGGCACCCTGGGTGCCTTAAGGTTTCTTAAGGGGTGCCTTGGCCAAATTTTCCAAAAATTGCCCAAAGCTTGTATACAAGCCAGTGGGTGGAACAAGTCTGCCTTTTAGCTACACAAAGTCACAGGTTTTCGTTGTGCACCATTACGACCTTAGAGCCATCAGAGTCCTAACAAGCAATGACATCATCAGTTGATAAGGAGGATGTCAGCTGCCTGCACCGCATCCTTGTTTAACCCTCCCCTGCCCCTCTTCATCACCACTGGGGTCATATTAGCTCAGTGATGAGAGAAAACAGGGGGAAGAGTAACACTCAGCACCAGTGTGCAAATGTGTATTTGCTTTGGAAGAATAAATCACCTCTAACGTTGGGTGTCCTATGTGTGTGGATGTTGCTGCGTTATATAAAACTATTAGAATAGTTTTTCACATTTTAGAAAGGGGTGCCATTTTAAAATTATGGACAGTTTTGAGGCACCCCATTTTGGAATGGGGTGCCTCAAGACTGTCCATAATTTTAAAGGGTGCCTCAGGACTGTCCATAATTTTAAAGGGTGCCTCGGGACTGTCCATAATTTTTAAAGGGTGCCTCGGGACTGTCCATAATTTTAAAGGGTGCCTCGGGACTGTCCATAATTTTAAAGGGTGCCTCAGGACTGTCCATAATTTTAAAGGGTGCTCTTGACTGAAAAAAGGTTGAGAAATACTGCCCTATGGTACTCCAATTAGGTATCCATATTTGTTAAAGCATCAGTCTACCTAGAACTTATTTTCAAATTTTTGGCAGACAATGGAGACTTCGACAATCTGACAGTAATTTATGTCCTTCTGGGATTCTGTTAGTGAACTTTTTATACTGAGTTCCTTGGTCTGTATACATGATGCGGCTATTTTAACGAGCTAAAACTCTGCCTATTGAATTTATTTCTTAGTATGGAGAACCTAAAAGGATTAGCTGTAACACACAAAGGTGGGTGAGAACATCAATCTCTCTGTGATGCAAAACAATAGAGATTGATGGTTGGGTGTACCAAGACATAAGAAAGCAGGGGCTGACTCAGCCCACCAGACTCCCACTATAACTAAATATTACTTTTGGATGAAGTGACCCTTTAAAGTGTTGGGGACTTCAACCCAAACATGCATTGCTTGCGCCTGCCACATTAATGAACACCACTACTGTATAGACCCAGCTGCCTTAGGCGAGACAGAATGTAGGCAGGTGGATTGGGTTGGTGGACAGTACCAGTCCCACAGAGGCAGTGTGTGAAGTGATGTGGCATTCTGGTGATCGCTCAGTCACTTCCTTTTTTGTCTTCCAGTATTAAACAAAGTGGTCACATGACTGCCGCTTACTACAGATGCTAGGGGGAAGACCAGCATAGGACCAATGTGTTCTCTGCTGTGGGTTCCTGGTTCCATCTTGTGGAAGCCTGTGTCTAGCAATAACAGAGCTCTTACAATATCTGGGTGTCCTTCTTAGATAGCTCTATCTATGTACCTGACATCCAGTGCAATGTGGGAAGTACAAGGCAGGGACAAGAACCCATCAGTAGTGAGAAGACTAGAATTAGAAGTGGGGACATGTTCCTTTTGAGGAGGGACAGTTCAGGCTCTGGGCAGTCTACCTCAAAGAAGGCCAGTGGTGGAGACTAGGTGACAGACCACATACCCAAGACCCTGGACCAGTAGGAGGCATACCATACAGCAGTTGGTCGTAAGACAGAATCCTATGAGGAGTCACATCTGTGGAAGTTCTGTCTAAACAGACCTGTCCACACAACCTCCTGTAGGTTAGCCCTGCATTGGTGTTTGTTAATATACAATCACCGGCCACTTTATTAGGTACACCTTGCTAGTACTGGGTTGGATCCCCTTTTGCCTTCAGAACTGCCTTAATTCTTCGTGGCATAGGTTCAACAAGGTGTTGGAAATGTTCCTCAGAGATGTTGGGGCATATTGACATGAGTTACTGTAGCCTTTCTAGCATCTCGAACCAGTCTGCTCATTCTCCTCTGACCTCTAACATCAACAAGGCATTTTCATCCACACAACTGCTGCTTAGAATGTTGTTTCAGCAGAATGCTGCTTTCTGATTCCAAATAAACAGACTGACAGAGAGAGCCAGCAATGCAATGTTACATACATTGCCATTTGTAAAAATGTTTCTTAACTTTAGAACCTGAAATAGTCCAGCCTTGCCAAATTGTGACCTTTTATTCCATTATATTTGTTGAAATCAGACAAAGAAACAATATTTGAGTATGATTTTGCAATTGGGTATTAATTTGCTGTCTTTACATATTTAGGATGCTCATTTTTCTCCTGAAGAAGGTCTGTGAAACATGTTAAGAAGTATTTATCTATTTTGCTTCAGTAAATAACTAATGAAAACCTGGGAATCATTTATGGATTAATGTATGAATACAATACAATGGGAAATATTGAAGTAGCCTGTAATGAGCAGGTCTCTCTGACTCCTCCTGTATTGAATTGTATTGTAACTGTACTGTTTGCCTTCACGTTGTAAAGCGCTGTGCGAACTGTTGGCGCTATATTAATTTCTGTATAATAATAACTGTGCCATGTACTCAGCTCCTCTTTTGTATGCTTATACGTGAATAAAAGAATGTTTAAATTAAAAAAATCTTAATATATGTGTATTTAAAAAATCCTGTATATTGCTTCTGCATGTGCTTAAAACTGTATTAAACCAAAAACAAACATTTATTGTATTGCAGCTTACCAATTCTTAGGTGTGGTGGCTGTATTAGTTTTCTTTATCCCAAAAAGATTACATTTTTTAGTCAAGCCATCAAAATCTGCTAGTGAATCTAACACTACCCTCTCCTCAGGCTGACAACGCTGCTGGCCAATGGTGTCTCTCTTGCTATTCCATCCAGAGTGGAAACACTCTTTGTCAGAAAGTGTGTTAATGGCTAGATCACCCATTAAAAAATAAAAATAAAAAGCCTAAAAAAAAAAATAATGCAGCCGCGAAATTGGTAAGCTACAATATATTACATTTTCAGTTTTTGCTTTTAAATATTTATAAAGGGGATGTTGGTACACTCTGATGTTGATCAAAAGGTGGAGTTTACGTTAATTTACTTTAATGTAGTTTAATATCATAAGGAAAGCTAGAATATTTGTCAGGATGTTTAAAAATAAGCCAGATGCCAGGAGCAAAAAAAAAAATAAAAAATCTAATAAACCAAAAGCAATGCATAGTTTCAAAAGGAGGTGTCCATCAGTTAGTTATCATCGGCCTAAAGATGGGACAGCCGTCTGTGATTAGAAACGCTACACTGGAAAACCCCTTTAAAAAGTCTTTTTTTCATCTTGACAAAGAAGAGGTGGAAAGTATGTGTCTGACAGGCTGTAGATATGAGCGAGGTCTCTGTAGCTGTAAATGCCTGGATAGGAAGATGTTTGTGTTAAGCCGATTATCTCCATCCCAGGGTACAGAGTTGCAGTGAGCAGGAAAAGCCACTTGATCTTGACAATGTGCAGACAATGGTCTGATAGCTGGGTGAGAAGGCTGGAGGTGAGAATGATCCTGAACACTACTCAGCATCACATCACAGCCTTTCACGGAGGAGGAATGTGTTCTGTTAGTATTGGGATCCACGACTACAACCTGGGGAACACACTGATGAAGTGTTCTGAGCTAACAACTCCTGTCAAATTTGAAAAAATCATATTTAGTTCACTTCAAAAATCATAATTTAAAAGAAAATAATTAAGTGGCTTCTGCCACACCAGCTAAAAGCTAAACCCAGGCTTGTAGTGCAAGTGCCTTCTCTGTAAGCTATTGCTTAGGAAATTGTGATATGTGTTTGGTTGGGGTTCCTCATCTCCCTATAAGGTTGGTTGGGGTTTCATTTCCCCGTAATCTCCCTATAAGCTTGGTTGGGGTTCATCTCCCTATAAGGTTGGTTGGGGTTCCTCCCTGTAAGGTTGGTTGGGGTTCCTCATTTCCCCGTAAGGTTGGTTGGGGTTCCTCATCTCCCCGTAAGGTTGGTTGGGGTTCCTCATCTCCCTGTAAGCTTGGTTTGGGCTTCTCATCTCCTTGTAAGGTTGGTTGAGGTTTTTCACCTCCCTGTGTATGATGGGGGTAGAATGGAAAAAAATTAGAGCCTATGAGGATGTTGGCTACATCTAACATTTCTATATAAACTTGTCTGTTCGGAGTCAAAGGTCTATTCATTTTTATTTTAGATACATGGGAGCAATATAGTGGGAGGTAAGCGGGGACCATGGAGACAGGAGGATCAGCAAACCAGAGGATCAACAGAGCTGGTTACTATTGAGTGGGAGATCAGCAGACCTGGGGGTACTACTGAACAGGGGATCTGCCGAATGAGAGTACTAATAAGCTGGGGATCTGCTGAAGGAGGGTACCAGTGAGCTGGGGATCTGCTGAACAGGGGTACAAAGGAGCTGGAAATGTGCTGATTGGTGGTACCACTCATGCAGGGTTTGTACTGGGCCTCTTTAAAACAAATTGAAAATCAACACACACATGGCATTTCCCAAGCTTCATTAAGGCTTCAAAAAAGCATAATTGAAGCCTCACAGAAGCATCATAAACACATCAAAATAGCATGTTGAAGTGTTAGGTGATTTAATGTGTGTTAAAGTCGAAGCAAGTGTAAATGAGTCCTAACCGTATCTCCCATGGACTGTGAGTAATGTGTGTTCTCACCTAAAAGTGACTGGCGCCCATCTTTGTACATGTCCCTCTATACCTGAGTAATCTACCCCTGGGCTAAATGTCAACCCACCGTGTCTGGGGGTACTGCCAGGCTTCCAGGGATCAGGGGGGGCTCTACATTGTATTGTACCCCACAGGAAAACTTATCGTAATAAAAACCTAAGGTGCTAATCATTTCATGCTTTATGCAGAACTAAATAAAACGTTTTTTTCAGTTTGCCTTTATTAATTTCAGTAATGTTGGAATAATCCCTTACATAGGACAATGTGAATATACTTTAATGCCATAAAGTACACTAATAAGGGTGGCACATACCTCTATCAGACATTGAGGGATTCATCTTTTTTAAGACCAGAGCAGTTTTAGAAAAATTGATTTAGACATAAAAGTATCAATCTTGCCATCGATGTAATTCTTGCAAAAAGAATAAAGATCTGCTCTGTTGCTTTTCTAGTTTTGTTTTTGAGGACGCATTTATGGTATTCATATTTCATTATTTAATTTAGTGGTCTTTATATTTGTTTGTTTTTTATTGTTCCTTTTTTACATGGTTGATGCTATATGTATACGGTTGCTTTATTTTTGTTTGTTTTTTACTTTTACATTGCTGTCTGTTTTTTTTTTTTTTTCCTTAAAGTCCAGGGTAGCTTAAAAGAGCTAACCTTCAGGAGCCATTTAAATCCTGTTGCTTAATTTCTCCTTACACATTAAAGCTTTTATTTCCCCCAAAAATGTATTTGCACCTAGCTCTGCAATTATATATTTTTTTAACTTGTTTTGTGCTTCTTTATTGCCTAGGCAGGAATGACATTGAGCTCAATTCTACCCTTGCACAGGTGTGCTGAAGGGCTCTCTTTGGCTTTCGGGACCTGGTAGAGTGCTTTGGCGTTTTGCGTGTAGGCAGGTGGTAGAGTAGGTAGCACTTTAAGATACCGCCTCCCCATGGAAGAATGCTGGAAAACTAGGCAGGACATAGGAGGGAGGTGGATCAGACTGCAGAGGAAGAAAAAGAAGCAACATCTATCTGCTGCACTCCTGCTCTCCCCCTTCCTGGGGAGGACAGGGTGGCATGGGGTCCCCCATCCTAGCACCAAGA